GGAGTCTTGGACATGTCATTCGCTAGTCAAGGCACTCGGATGTACGAACAACTGATGATACCAATTTTAAACCAGCTTGCATAAATTCACAAATATATTAATCACAATTCATCATCATTCACGAACAGAATTCTAGTCAATGTATAGACCTATGGTGAAGACTTCATCACATTCTATTTGAATTCAATATTTCGCCCGAATCTGAAGTCTGACTGTTCTTTCTCTAGATAAATCTGTCTCCATCTCAGTCTATTGCTCTATTAAGCGGTTGTTTAAAGCCCGCGTAGTATATAGTCAAAATAACTACAATACTACCTAACCGATTAGAAAGAATACATTAAAGTATACTTCGTCTGACGTAGCATCCTGTACTTCTGCCACTGCCTATTCCTCAATATGTGCATAAATCTGAATTTATAGAAATTGAAACATAAAGAAAAATTAAATAAAACACAATAAGGATTTAATCTATCTTCATTTCATGTTGATCATTCAGCCAACTCACAAGACAGAACCTTCTGTGTTAGAACATGGAATGCGACCAAAAGAAAAATTGAGAAGTCGATTATTCAACACTACTGAGCATCTGATATTTTATCTTGGGATTCAGTCATGGAGATTAACTGGGTAGCGAACAGAGGTTACCGAAGAAACCTGACACTTCTGTCGCGTTGAAAGCGAATGTAAGTAATTGAATTCGCCTTGACTGAATTAACGATGATCGGCAGGAGAAAATGATGCTTTGGGAGTAGCTGTGATTTCCTTCCATGCCAACCACACAGCTTCAGAGAACTGAAGCTATTATCGTTTCGATAAAGCAGTTTCATACGCAAAAGGTATCCACCAACAAGAAAAAAGAGGATAATTATAATTTTAATGCACGACATACTATTTTGTCTGACAGACCAGGAAAAAAGGAGCAGGTCATGTTTTAGTGTGGATTTTTGTGAACTGCTAATTGTCGACCAACGTCGGTCAAAAAGTAATGACAGTCTATAAATGTTTCTATGAGGAAGAACATTAAATTTGTATCTCGTGTATGCAAAATGTTAAATGGTCAAAAAACGACTCTTACAATGGTACAAGGTGTAAAATGTACCCTTGAAAAGGGGGGGGGGGGGC